GATGCTCATTGTGTTCGCACTGTTAGGCCTGATTCTGTCTTTGTGTGCAGTTAAAGCTGCAAGAACTGTGTCCTTTGAATAAAACAGTATCAGAGGGTCCCCATTTGTGCCATTCGAATCCCTAACAAAGATTCATTTTTTTTTTTGAAAGCTTATTACCACCTGGCTGACAGTTCGTGAAATTTGTCCAAAATAAAAGCGGAAAGCAAGACTGTAAAGCAGTATATGGAAACCTCAATAAATTCATCTGTGCAGACAAATCTGCACTCGCACCAAGCATTGTATATTGAATGAAAACTTAACATGGCTTGCATATATATGGACCTTTTTTTACGTTGTGTAGATGCTGTCATAATTATTAAAATGATTTTATTTTTTTTTTTTAAGATTTTATTTATTTATTTGATGGGGTGGGGAGAGAGGGAGAGCAGGGGAAGCAACAGGCAGAAGGGGAGGGGGAGAAGCAGGCTCCCCGCTGAGCAGGGAGCCCAATGCGGGACTCGATCCAGGACCCCGGGATCATGACCTGAGCCTAAAGCAGAAGCCTAACAACTGGGCCACATAGGCGCCCCCAAATAAAATAATTTAAAAATATATTTTATTTATTTATTTGACAGAGAGGGAGAGAGAGAGAGAGAGAGAGAGAAGGAGCACAAGCAAGGGGAGCAGCAGAGGGAGAAGCAGGTTCCCCGCTGAGCAGGGAGCCGGATGTGGCGCTCAATCCCAGGACCCCAGGATCATGACCTGAGCCAAAGGCAGACGTTTAACCAACTGAGCCACCCAGGCGCCCCAAATAAAACCATTTAAAAACAACAAAAACAGAAGTCACCTGTGACATTTGGGGACAGACGCAACTGATCTTTCAATTGAAGGTACTATTGCTAAACCAAAGATGATATTGTAGAAGTAAAGGGTTTATAATCATAATTTGGTTTTGACAGAGCAGAATATGCAAAGACACGCAGACTTGCAGCTTGCATTAAGCATGTAAGTATATCCTTACCTTGTTCATACACTTGATTTGAAGGAGTCGTGACCAGGTGTGCTCTCCCCACCTACACAGCATCTGCAGTCTGTCTTGGGTGAGCGCGGAAGGGGCACAAGTAAGCCGCACTGAGATCTTCTAACCGCCCTCCGTGAATGCTCAGAAATGCTCTCGTGCCGGCATTTGTAGGCTTCTTTCTGTTGCCTTACACGGTTTCACTCACTGACACTATTTCTGAGGTGGGTATAACAATCCACATGTCAATTAACTGTTCATATACTTTGAATATTATTAAAACTGTTATTTGAGTCCATCCTTGATGTTAAAATACAAATCAGACACTTGGATGTATGCATTCACTTCCCCAATACACAGTCACTGTATTCCCATTGTGTGGAATACACTTTGCCTCCATGTCCCACCATGAAACTCCTACCTGTATTTCAAGGTCCGTCCTTTCATGTTTTCCTTAATAAACATCTTTGGAATCTTTCTCAGCCTTTCTGTAAACACAGCGGAAGAGAACACAGTGGAAGGGTCATAGGAGTTGAGATGTTTAGAAGACGGATTTAGAAGAGAGACTATATAGAGTCCTGTGAGGATGATGGGCCGGGGGTTGGTGTGGTCCCAGAATTCCCGGGCTTTGTGTGGCGATTGATGTGAAGGTCTCAAGATAGACTGTGGTGGTGAGGCAGGGAGTGTTGGGTGTAAGGCAAAGGTGGGAGTACTTGCTAGGAACGTCCGGAGTTCTTGGGCGTCCTCCTCACTGTCTTGGGGCAGAGCAGACCTCTGCACAGTCAGTCTTGGGGGGCTCCTACTTCAGCTTCCCCTCAGCTCTCAGGAATGGGTTGACAAGGGATTTGAAGAAGTGAGCCCGGTGAGAACAAGAACTGTGCCTTTCCATCTTTTTCACCAGCATTAGCTGAGCATGTAACAATATTACTTTAAAAAGTTAACAAATGAGGGGCACCTGGGTGGCTCAGTCGTTAAGCGTCTGCCTCCGGCTCAGGTCATGATCCTGGGTCCTGGGATCGAGTCCCAGGGTCCTGGGTCCCTGCTCAGCGGGGAGTCTGCTTCTCCCTCTACCCCTCCCCTCTGCTCATGCTCTCTCGCTGTCAAATAAATAAATAAAATCTTTAAAAAACAGTGACGGGACTCCCTAACCTTGACCATGCTTTGGAGGATTAAATGAGATAGTGGATGTAGGTTGCTAGTCCAGTGTTGTCAGGACACTAGGCAGTCAAAATTCATGACCATTTTGTTCTCCATCCTCCCTGAGAACAGAGCCCCGGTACCATTCTCATAGCAAATATCATTTTTAGAGCCTTCATCTACTTTCTGGTTGACGTAGTACACATAGTGCTCTTAGATACTACAGGAAGGCAGTATGAGGTATGGAGCTTGGAACTAATGAACCCTTACTTCCCTAACTGATATTCTGGTTAAGCCTCTATTTCACATTTAGGCTTGCCTCTGGCCTGAAATAGATGGGATTTTTACAGGCAACGGTGGAATTGTAAAGAATACAGAGATGAAATTCACGAAAAGAGTGAACAGCACCAACAAGAGTAAAGCACACGTAAAGCAGAAGGCACATTTCAAGAGCAGTTCATGCCCCCTTTGGATGAAGTTAGCTGGTCCTAGTCACTAGGACGTGGAATATAGTGAGTCCAAGGTGTAGTTCCAGACATGGATGAACAATAGTCTTATGACCCTTGAGGCTGGGCTCAAGACGGATTGCAGTAGGCGAATGGTTACACATTTTAACAGCTTAAGCAGCACACCTGCGTAGTGAATGGCAATTTGAAATTCAGATCGCAAGTGGCATCTGATGCCATGAGTGACCAACTGGATGCAGTTGGGTCTCAATGTTTGTCGGGCTTCAGAACCACTTGAAGAGCTGACTTTAAAATGTGTATGTGACTCTATCAAAAAGGTGAAATGAGCGTCTGCCTTCGGCTCAGGTCATGATCCCAGGGTTCTGGGATTGAGCCCTGCATCAGGCTCCCTGCTCAGCAGGGAGCCTGCTTCTTCCTGCCCCTCTGCCACTACCCCCGCTTGTGCTCTCTCTCTCTCTCTCTCAAATAAATAAATAAAATCTTTTTTTTTTAAAGGTGAAATGTGCAATCCAATGTTTCTTCCTGACATAGTGTGTTTTCAAGAGGGAGTGAAAATGTACTAAAATTAAGATTGTGGTAGTGGTTGCATACCATGGCAGATAGACTAAAAACCATTGACTTGAATACTTTAAATGGGTGAATTGTAGGTTATGTGAATTGCCTCTCGGTAAAACTGTTTGGACTAATACAGACATAGATCAGATTTGGTACAAGGGCTGTAGTTGGCCGATGCTGCTCAAGAGGACTGTCTTAGTTCCTTTCCTTCACTGCACTGATCCCTAAGGGAGCTGGGGTGGGGGGGGTACTTGTACATCAGCCCATCTGCTACTCGCTCCCAGCACACCAGTTGGCAAGCTCTACTGCAGAACACCGGGGCCTGGAAACATGAGGTGCCAGGTCCCTGGGTTTTCATGCAATTTATTAAAACCTCGTTGCTACCACAGCCCAGACAGGTACTTCCTGCTCCCTGGTCCTGGTGCCATGACATCATCCATTCAGGGAGGCCAGGGCGATGCCCTGATGGGGGCGAGATAGTTGGCCAAGGAGCATGGTGAGCCCCTGTCCGTCGCAAGGACACGCTCCCCCACATGAACCCGGTGGGAGAGTGCGGGGCAGCGGGGAGGTGGGAGAATCCATGGCCCCTGCGTCTCTCCTGTGCCACGCTGGGCTTCTCGCTGGTTCCCACGGGGGTGCTACTGTTTAGCAGGATGACTTTCATGGGGACCCGGAGCCGACGCTGCTCCCACTTGCCCCGTCCTGTCCCGGGACTGCATGGGCTCAGGAAGCCAGGTGGGCATGAACAGAAGGCAAGTTCCCTCGGGGCAGAGAATTTGCGCCTTTGCCTTCAAGGCTATAACCCCAGGAGCTGGCACACAGAAGGCAATCACTATTTCTAGAGTGAATCAATGAGTGAATACCTAAAATCTAGAAGATACTAACTCCACCTACTGACCATAATGTGGGGGAACTAACTAACCACTACAGGGTTGGGGGATCTCATCGACCTGTAATGCAAATTCAGATTAAAAAACAACAACAACTTATGGTGCACATTGTGTTTTAAAAATAAAGGTTCTTAGGGGCGCCTGGGTGGCTCCGTCATTAAGCGTCTGCCTTCGGCTCAGGTCATGGTCCTGGGGTCCTGGGATCGAGCCCCGCATCGGGCTCCCTGCTCGGCGGGAAGCCGGCTTCTCCCTCTGCCACTCCCCCTGCTTGTGTTCCCTCTCTCGCTCTCTGTCAAATAAATAAATAAAATCTTTAAAAAAATAAAAAATAAAAAAAATAAAGGTTCTTAGGGGTGCCTGGGTGTCTCAGTGGATTAAGCATCCGCCTTCGGCTCAGGTTGTGATCCCAGGGTCCTGGGATCGAGTCCTATGTCAGCCTCCTTGCTCGGTGGGGAGCCTGCTTCTCCTTCTCCCTCTGCCCCTCTCCCACCTGCCGGCTAGTGCTCTCTCGCTCACTCTCTCAAATAAGTCTGACGTCAGCTCAGATCATCTCAGGGTTGTGGGATCGAACTCTGCATCAGGCTCTGCGCTTAGCGGGGAGTCTACTTATCCCTCTCCGTCCCTCCCCCCACCCCGCTCATGTTCTCTCTCTCTCTCTCTCTCTCTCAAATAAATAGTCTTAAAAAAAAAACAAATCCACTAAAAAGAGAAAATCAAATATAAGATTATTACAAAGGATTACGATGAAAATATCTTTAATCAATAATGGAAAATGCTGGCCACTCTCCAGAAGGCACACTCCATTTAGCCAACCTACACAGAACTTGAAAGGTTGTGCCTGAATTAACTGTTGAGGCTTACTAAGCTATTTTTCACAAAAAGCATTTAAACCAGGCCCTTTGCTGACAAGAGAAGGAAAGTGGCACAGGGAATACAAATGCTGTTTTCTTATTACCGCCTTTTCACTGGAGTCATAGAAATCGCTCTCCAAGTGTAGCAGGACTGACTGCTCTCCACCACGACAGCGTTAACAATGTCAGATATCTGAGGTGTGTAACCATCAGGCAGCTTCAGAGATTCCAAGGTGAAAAAGATGCTATCATCTATCACCCCATTTCTTCCATGTAGGCTAGTAATGCAGACCTGTAATTACAGATAATAGAAATGTTGATGTAAAAGCACGGTCCGCTGTAACCTGGCCTGCACCTCCTCGCTCTCGCTTTAATCTGTAGGTCGCTCCATTCCCAGCCTGGCCGCCATGTTTGAAACACCGGGAGCGCTCTGTACAACGACCCATGGTGACCCCTACCTCAAGACGCTAAGTCAGAAGCCCTGCAGACCTGGCCCTGGTCGAGGATTAGAAACTCTGCACTAAACACACCACACAATGTCCATTAACCTCTCTGGCAATAGTTGAGGGAGTGAAAGGGGTAGAGCGAGAAAGGAACGTGGTGGCCAACAGAATGCCATTTCTCCACTTCCTGGGTCACATCCCAAGCGCCATCTGTCCCTTTGTGCAGACCGACTTTCCCATTTATTTCCAGTCTCCGTTCCCCAAGTCACACCCAGCATTTACTGCAGGCACTGGTCCCCCCACCATGCCATTCATTCTTCCCCCACAATTCCCTCAACACGATCTGTTTTCTGTTCTGGTTGCTCTCGGGGCATTTTAATACCTCCCAAGTAGACTACCTAATTGAGATCTTAATTATATGTGTGTTGTATATTATTCTCAGGTTATGTCCGTTTAGAAGCACAGCCTGTTCAATAAGGAAAGAGACTCCTCTTTGGCAAAGAATGGTTTTGCCAACACACCCCATGGAATCCCGAGCAGCAGCAAGGATCACTAGAGGAAGGAGAAGCAGAACCAAATAACAAGAGCTACATGCAGACGGACTACCTCATGCACATGCTTATGTCTCAGAGGCTTCACCGAGAGGGCCTTTCTGCTCAACATGTCCGACTGGGTGCAAAACTCAACTTCTACTCGGTCCCCCTGGTAAGGCTCGAAACCTAAAACAGCCACAGAGAGAAACTGAGTTGGAATGATTTCTTAGTCTTGGTAATGTTCAGTTTCACAGTTACTCTGATGTTGTAAGATCCTAAAATAATTTCTATTACATCGAAAGTATATTTTGAACCTTTTAAAACAGGTAACCTGGAAGTCTTCCTGTCAGAAAGGACGTTTGTAATCCTCTAGGCATTGATTCTCTCACTGGTTTCCCAAAGTCTGTTGGGGAAAAGCCTCAACGGGGCCTCACAGGCCAAGCTCTTTGAGAGCAGCACGGGATTCATTAAACCATTGGTCATGTTCACAAGTCCCTCTGGAGACACAGGGAAGTACATAAGTCGGGGCACAAGTGTGAATCTGGCTGCCTGGGTTCAAACCTTGATGCTGCCACTTACTCAACTTGCAACCTTGGGCAAGTGACTTACCCTCTCTGTGCCTTAATTTCTTCATCTATAAAATGAGAGCATAATTGTAGGACTTACCACAGAAAGTTGAAGGGAGAATTAATCAGTACCTATAAAACTCATAGAACAGTGCCTGGCACATAGTCAGCCCCAAATACACACCACAGCCTAAAAATGGCAAGATTCTGCCAGGCTATCAAGTTGGGGGGATCGCCGGGAAATGTGAGATACTCTAGGTTATGTTTACGTGAAACATTTATAGGAAAACTCAACTCCGATGTCTTGTCATGCAGGGTAGAGATTAGTCTGAATGTTCTTGCTATAAACCTAATAACTACTTATTTGTTTAATAATTTGGTAACCCCTTTTTTAGTTTTCAATAAACCCTTTTGGCAGCAATGAGCAAAAGAACAGATGCATGTTTAGGGAAAATGAGTAATGAATTAATTTTCCAAGAAAGTTAATTCATACGTGAATTATGTCATTCATCCGGGCTATGGACTGAATGTGTCCCCCTAAAATTCGTATGTCAAAGCCCTGACCTCCAGGGTGACTGTATTTGGAGATGGGGCCTCTAAGGAAGTAACTAAGATTAAATGAGCTCCTAAGGAGGGGTACCTGGCTGGTCCAGTCAATAGAACCTGTGACTCTTGATCCTGGGGTCATGAGTTCAAGTCCCATGTTGGGTGTAGAGATAAATAAAAAAATAAATAAATGAGCTCATAAGGAAGGGACCAATCTGATAGGATTAGTGTCCTTGTAAGAAGGGTCACTGAGAGCTTTGTGCTCTCTCTCCCCCTCACACACACCAAAGAAAGGTCACGTGAGGACTCCGTAAGCTGGTTAAGCATCTGCCTTCAGCTCAAGTCATGATCCCAGGGTCCTGGGATCGAGCCCCATGTTGGGCTCCCTACTCCGCAGGGAGTCTGCACTTCCCCCTGCTTGTGCTCTCTCTGTCTCTCTCTCTCAAATAAATAAAACTTAAGAAAAATATATTAATACTATTTTAAATGTCCAAACCTAAAACCAATTTGTTAGTCATATGTAAAAACTTCAAAAGCCAATTTAACTTTAATCAACTCTAACACCCTTTTTTAGTTCCCAAAATGACTCAAATTGGACAACAGAGGATACGGCCACCCCCTATAGCTACAGATGTAGGAGAGGGGTGCCCTACACAAGCTATAGCCTTTGGTAGATGTATCACGTCATTGCCAATGTGAGGCCTGGAAATGAGATTATCTAGGGGAATAAATATTCCAACATCTCCCTGCCCACTCCAGTCTCCTGAATCCAATCCTAAGAATGTCAGCAGCTGAAGAACAGGGTCTTTTAGTGACTGTTGGTCACTGCAGAGGCATATTGAAACGGGGAAGCTACCTCTGAACTGAGTTAAGATGCTGTACAATTGGGTAATTCAAGGCATAAGGGAAAGTCCAAAAAGGGATAAGAAGGTTACATGGAGGGATGCCTGGGTGGCTCAGTCGGTTAAGCACCTGCCTTCGGCTCTGGTCGGGACCTCAGGGTCCTGGGATCGAGTCCCGCACTGGGCTCCTTGCTCACTGAGGAGCCTCCTTCTCCCTCTGCCTGCCGCCGCCCACCCCCTGCTTGTGCTCGCTCTCGCTCTCTCTTTGACAAATAAATAAAAATAAAATCTTAAAAAAAAAGGTTACATGGAATTTCTTTTTTTTTTTTTAAGATTTTATTTATTTATTTGACAGAGAGAGACACAGCGAGAGAGGGAACACAAGCAGGGGGAGTGGGAGAGGGAGAAGCAGACTTCCCACGGAGCAGGGAGCCCGATGCGGGGCTCGATCCCAGGACCCTGGGATCATGACCTGAGCCGAAGGCAGACGCTTAACGACTGAGCCACCCAGGCGCCCCGGAATTTCCTTTTAATCTTTCAAGTGGGCACTCTTATTTTTGTTTTTTATTTTTTTATAAAAGAAAATGTTATTTATTTATCTGAGAGAGAGAGACTAAGTAGGAGAGAGAGGGAGAAAGAATCTGAAGCAGACTGCCCGCTGAGCAGGGAGCCCGACTCGGGCTCAACCCCAGGACCCTGAGATCACGACCTGTGCCAAAGGTAGGTGCTTAACCAACTGAGCCACCCAGGTGCCCCTCAAGCCAATATATTCTGAAAAATAAAGAAATAACCTTATTTATGACCCCAGGCTTCTAACTCAGGTCGTAGCGGTTAAATAAGGATATGTAGGATGTTATAGGACTGTATTCGTGCATAACCTGAAAAATAAAGGGGAATGAAATACCAACATTGTGTACTTGGTAGACTCCCCACCCCTGCCCTGAGGCTGAACGCTCACTTCCATTTTAGCATCCTTCACCTAAATGGTTAAGATTTATTGTTTATTCACATAAAAAACACAATCTTGGACCCATTATTGATGTTAACCATTTCCCACAAGCAAATACTCATGGACCTAAACTCTCACATTTTGCCTGCAAAATGGGGCTGATCGCCACCATCCATCCTGTGAAGCAGGTCAAAACAAATGGGATCTCGGGCCCCGAAGCACTGACATAGAAACACTTCCACGCCGTGCGCAGAATAACACGCACGCTCACCCACTCCCTCTCCCACGCTCCTGTCCCACGTGGTCTCCATATATTCACTTCCCACTCCTTCCTCAACCTACTTACGATCGTTTCTGTCTCTATCCCATCCTACTAGAACTGACTGCATCAAGGTTACCTCAGAAGGTTCTCGATAGGATTAAATCTAGTGTAAATTATGCACTTCAGGGGCGCCTGGGGGGCTCAGATGGTTAAGCGTCTGCCTTCGGCTCAGGTCATGATCCCAGGGTCCTGGGATCGAGCCCCATGTCGGGCTCCCTGCTCGGCGGGAAGCCCGCTTCTCCCTCTGCCTCTGCCTCTCCCCCTGCTTGTGCTCTCCCTCTCTCTATCTCTATCAAATAAGTAAATAAAATCTTTAAAAAAAATTATGCCCTTCACACAGGACCAGACTGTACTCCATCTGGATCTTACGGGCACTTAGAACCCCACCTCATACCATCCCTCATTCAGGTCATACCGCACATACTCACCACACAACCCTGTCCTCCCTTCAGTTCCTACGACAGGCCACGATTTTCCCTACTTAGGACTTTTACAGCGACTCTTCCCTGATTTAGAATATACTCCCCAGCTAACTCCTTCTTCTCCTTCAGGTCCAAGTCTCTTCCTCAGCGAGGCTTTCCTTAATCTGCTATCAATAGCAAACCCCACCCCATCCCACTCCCAGTGGTACTATCACAGCACCTGGTTCAAGTCCTGGAGAGTAGAACAATCTGGAACTCTCTTTGGGCAGGGGGCGGGGGGCACACTTACTGGTTGCCCATCTGAGATCTACCTCATTAGAATGCAAATATTAGGAAAAAACAGTACCTGGAACAGAGCCAGGCACTCAAATATTCCGTTGCATGAACATCAACAAGAATATACGCTGGCTCCCCATTGTGTGGGACAAGAAAATTTAATGCAATTTTTCCCTCTTTTAGATTCCCATTATGTTTTTTTAAAATATTTATTTATTTATTTCAGAGAGAGAGAGAGAGAGAGATGGGGGGAGGGGCAGAGGGAGGGGATCCCAAGCAGACTTCCCACTGAGGGCAGAGGTGGCGGTGGGGCTCAATCTCAGGACCCATGAGATCATGACCTGAGCTGAAATTATGAGTTGGACACGTAACCGACTGAGCCACCCAGGCGCCCCAATTCCAATTATGTTCTTGGTTTAAGATTTACTTATTTATTTTAGAGAGAGAGGGAGGGAGTGTGTGTGTGTGGTGGGGTGGGGGGGGCAGAGGGAGAGGGAGGGAATCTGAAGCAGACTCCTCAATGAGCGTGGAGCCCAACACGGGCTTGATCTCATGACCCTGCGATCATGACCTGAGCCGAAATCAAGAGCTGGACGTCATTCCCTTAACCGACTGAGCCCCTCCCATTATGTTTTATTATTATTTTTAAAGATTTTATTTATTTATTTGACAGAGAGACAGTGAGAGCAGGAACACAAGCAGGGGGAGTGGGAGAGGGAGAAGCAGGCTTCCCGAGGAGCAGGGAGCCCGATGCGGGGCCCGATCTCAGGACCCTGGCATCATGACCTGAGCCGAAGGCAGGCGCCTAACGACTGAGCCACTCAGGTGCCCCCCTCCCTCCCGTTAAGTTTTATTTATTTATTTTTTTTAAAGATTTTATTTATTTATTTGAGAGAGCGAGAATGAGAAAGAGAGAGAGAGCACATGAGAGGGGGGAGGGTCAGAGGGAGAAGCAGACTCCCCGCTGAGCAGGGAGCCCGATGCGGGACTCGATCCCGGGACTCCAGGATCATGACCTGAGCCGAAGGCAGTCGCTTAACCAACTGAGCCACCCAGGCACCCTCCCGTTAAGTTTTAAATTGGAACTTGTCTTTTGTCATTTTCATTAGGTTTCATAATCAGATTAACAGCAGCTATTTTGACAATGCTAATTATGACTGATTAGGTGCTCAGGTCTTTTTTAATACACTCTCTTTTTCACCCTTGAGAGGTCTATTACTCTGATTCGCTCAATTTATTTTGCAGCAGAAAGTCCCTTCACCTGTGCTTTGGGCCCGGCCTCTCTTTATGCCTCAGGGCCCTGGTTCTGTCGGTCCTTCCTGCTCTCTCCTGCACCTTCAGTCACTACCTTTGGCATTACAAACATGTTCAAGTGTTTACCAACTTGAGAAGAATTCTCCTAGCAAGGCTATGGTTGGTGGTGCCTCCTGTTGGCAGGGTTAGAGGGACCAGGAAATTGACTTTGGAGCTTAGGCATCCCAGGGGCCTTTTCTCCTTGAATTGGCTATTTCTAGCTAAACGTGTCTTAAAAGCCCAGCTGCCACTAGATAATCATCTTTGGGGACTTCCACGGTCACCAACTACGGTCAAGTCCTGGCTTTTAAAACCCAGAAAAATTCAGGGGGAAGCTGCCTGGTGGGGCTGAACTAACTTCCCCCTTTTATATTCAAGCTACATGGTGGCTGGTTGCGCTTAAACAGGTACAAAAGTTTTACTTCTATTCATCTTTCCAAAGCCAGCCTGGCAGAGGCTGGGAAGGTATAGAGTCCAGCTGGGAAAGCATCTTACCCAGGTAGCCTTCCCCAAGTCTCCCCATAGTGGGTAGTCATTCTGTCTTCTCTGCTCAGTAGTGTTGTTTTCATCACGTTCTTTTCACGTGCCCACCTCTCCCAATTAGACTATGAGCTCTTTACAGGCAGGGTTTAATAATAACGTCTTATTTGTCTTGTCTTGCCAATACCTAGCACTCCATCACGAGCTGAGTTAAACTCAAATAGCATAAACAAACTAACAAATTATTGCTGTAGGCATAAAACAAAATGATAGACCTGATAATTACAAGTGGAATTCAACAACAGTACACACACACACACACGCACAGAAAGTGCTGGAGGAGGTCATCAAGAGGACGTGACCATCAGTTGACCTACCAGCGGGACCCTGGGGCTTGGAGGCTCCTCACCCCCTGCCCTGTCCTGGGAATATATTCCCACAGCTGGAGGTCGCAGCCTTTAGAGAGTAAGGTGTGGCCGAGACCATCTGGACAGTGTATGTGACTGAACCCAATTAAGGCATCTATGTAAACTTTTAACATTCTGGCAGGTGGGTCCAGAGATCTACTCCTTTTGGGTCCCCCCACAGACAAGCCTCGTATGTAAGTTCCCTTGTTTATTACACCGGCCACCTACCGATTAGGAGTGGCCTGCCTCTTTCTTTGGTCTCTCCTTGCCCTCCATGTGTGGGGGCCAGTTTGCAAACCGACAGAAAGGTACAAGGCTATCTCCAAACCTTATTTTAAGGCATTTGAGATATATATATTTTTTAAAGAGTATGCCTGTGCGGCACCTGGGTGGCTCATTTGGTTGGGCATCCGACTCTTGGTTTCGGCTCAGGTCGTGATCTCGTGGTCCTGGGAACGAGCCCCACATGGGGCTCCGCCCTCAGTGGGGAGTCCGCTTCAGGATTCTTTCTCTCCCTCTCCCCCACTCCCCACTTGCTCTCCCTCTCAAATAAATAAATAAATCTTTAAAAAATTAAAATAAGGGTAGGGGGATGGGTTAGCCTGGTGATGGGTATTGAGGAGGGCACGTTCTGCATGGAGCACTGGGTGTTATGAACAAACAATGAATCATGGAACACTGCATCAAAAACTAATGATGTAATATATGGTGATTTACATAACAATAAAAAATTAAAATGAAAAAAAATAAATAAAAAATTAAAATAAAATAAAAATAAAAAGAATATCCCTGTATACCTGTAATGTTTTTCAGTTAGATTAGAAATTCAGTGCCTATATGAATGGAAAAATTACATAAATACTAGCAGCTACATCCAATAAATGAAACGCCAACAAATGATAGCCTGAGTTTTTAAGAACATTATGTATCTGTCCCTTGCTGCACATTATTTTCAATTCCAAAGGCCCACCTCAAGTATCAGAGAGCCTCTGATTGGAGCCAAGGACACTAGAAGTAGTTCTAATCCGAAAATCCTCTTGCCAAATAGCATGTTCCAAATTTGACCCTGGAAATGGTGCCTGTAACCATCTCCAACGCCAATCGATAAAATTAAAAGATAGGTAAAACCTAGTTTTAAATTTTAAAATGTGTAAACTGTACCTTTACAGATGACATCTAGGGAGAAGTAAGTTGCGTGATCAATGTAGTTAGCACCTTCCACTACAGATGAAATACTGCCAAATGAAACTCTAGCATAGGAGTTTGAGGGTCCATTGCCATGGCAACTATCACAGAGCGCATCCACCTGTGAGAAAAGGAAACCATTACAGCAAACCCATAACACAAGTTTAAAAAGCAGAAACATGCTCAAATCATTGTCGTTCCAGAATCGGTTTAAACAACTATAATAAACAATGCTGAATAGATTTCACCTGATGAACATATAGGCATGAGACGATGATAACAATAATGAATGAGCTTTATATATTTTATTACTTTATTTTTTAGAGCAGTTTAGGAATACTGAGCTGAAGTTTCCCATACATTCCTTCCCTCTATGCTTAGTTTGCCCTATTACTAGCACCTTGCATTTGTTGGACTGGTATATCTGTTCAAGTGATGAACCGATATTGATACAGTATCTTTAACTAAAATCCATAGTTTAAATGAAGGTTCACTCTTTGTGTTTTTCTGTCATATATAGTTTTTTAAGATTTTATTTATTTTGGGGCACCTGGGTGGCTCAGTGGGTTAAGCGGCTGCCTTCGGCTCAGGTCATGATCCTGGAGTCCTGGGATCGAGTCCCACATCGGGCTCCCTGCTCAGCAGGGGGTCTGCTTCTCCCTCTGACCCTCTTCCCTCTCGTGCTCTCTATCTCTCATTCTCTCTCTCTCAAATAAATAAATAGAATCTTTGAAAAAAAAGATTTTATTTATAAAAAAAGATTTTATTTATTTATTTGTCAGAGAGGGTGGTGAGCACAAGCAGGGGGTGGCAGGCAGGGGGAGAAGGAGGCTCCCCACCAAGCCAGGAGCCCAATGCAGAGCTCAATCCCAGGACCCTGGGACAATGACCTGAGCCAAAGGCAGATGCTTAACTGACTGAGCCACCCAGGTGTCCCTGTTGAAACATTTTTTTTTAAAGATTTTTATTTACTTGACAGAGAGACAGCGAGAGAGGACACAAGCAGGGGGAGAGGGAAAGGGAGAAGCAGGCTTCCCGCGGAGCAAGGAGCCCGATGCGGGGCTTGATCCCAGGACCCTGGGTTCATGACCTGAGCCGAAGGCAGACGCTTAATGACTGAGCCACCCAGGGGCCCCGAAACATTATTTTCAAGGTTCGTAGGGCATCCCATTAAATGGGAGTGCCGTATTTATTGACTCAACTCCACACAGTTGAACATTTGGCTTATATCCTAAAACACTGCTACTTGCCCGATTTCTTTCTGTAGGATAACCTCCTAGGAGTGGAATTTCATGTTCAAAAGTTTCTAATGGGAACTTGATCCATGGAGGTGTCAATTCATTTTCATGTGTTGTTTCTTTTTAATAGCCTAATTCACGGCCTATTTCCATTTCTCTATGCATTTCCAGCTGACAATGCCAATCTCATGGTCATTTCCCCCTCATTCATTTTCAGTGAGGAATCAAGCACCAGGCTTCCAACTATGTATCCACCACCACTTCTGTCAATATCCAAATGATGATCTATAAGACCCCCTGACCTCTCTGTTCCCCGACTCTCTACTAACCACCATACCGAGTAAACATGCCTTCTCACAATCTGAAACTATCTATCCACACCTCACAACTATAACATCAGCATGTTATTTTTTAAATTACAGAAATATTTTATGTTCATTAATGCAGAAGCAGTCAACACAGATATTTTCTCTGAGCAAATACAGGCCACTGGACAAGACCTCCTGTGTCAACTTCCTGGCACCTATCCTGGCTTTCTCTGCCTTCCCTCCTACAATAACGGAGGGTCAACCAAGCCGCTTACCCAAGGCCGACCCCCCCAACTGGGCACATGGTGCTATTCCCTCTTGCCTCTGTGTAGACTTTGCCCCTATATTATTGTTTCTCTTCCCCCTACATTGACAATTCTTCTTTCTAATGAGTCAACATACATTCTCTAAACTCTCCTATCTTTTTTTCTGATAACTATCTTTGTGAATTTTATTGAGTTTACCTTAAATTTATGGACCAACTTAAGAACTAAAAGAAAGGTTTTTTTTAAAAGATTTTATTTTATTTATTTATTTAAAGATTTTATTTATTTATTTGACAGAGAGAGACAGCGAGAGAGGGAACACAAGCAGGGGGAGTGGTAGAGGGAGAAGCAGGCTTCCCGCTGAGCAGGGAGCCCGATGCGGGGCTCGATCCCAGGACCCCGGGACCATGACCTGAGCCGAAGGCAGACGCTTAACGACTGAGCCACCCAGGCGCCCCAAGAACTAAAAGTTTTTAAATATCCTTTCCATCCAGAAGCACAGTCTGGCTTTCCATTCAATCAATTCTCTTCTTATTGCCATCAGGAATGTTTTGTAGCTGTCTTCATTTTTATTTTAGTTTTTTAATTCCAGTATAGTTAATATACAGTGTTATATGAGTTTCAGGCATACAATATAGTGATTCAATTCTATGCATTACTCACTGCTCATCGTACGTGTACTCTTAGTCCTATCTTTAAAAAAACACACACACAACACACAAACCTCCCTTGATCTCATTTCTCCTTCAGTCTCGTTTCTTTGCTCTTCCTCCCAGCAAAAGATATATAAAGAATCATCTATACTCACCCCCCCATCTCTCATGCGCTCCTCACTGCTCTCCAATCAGGACTTATAGCCCCGATATGCCTCTGAAACTGCTCTTAAAATCACCAGCAACCTCCAGGCTGTCAAATCCAATGGTCAATTTTCTCTGCTCCCATCACTCAACCTCTTAGCATTTGACTCAATTGAAAAACTTTGCCTGGCTTCTGTGTGACCACCCTCTCCTGGAGAGGCTCCATCTCAACCTCCTCTGTTAACACTCTCTTCCTGTTTCCTGTCCTTGAACTCAATACACCACGTTACAGACATGGAGTCCCATCAGTATCTCAAGCTTGGCATGGACAAAACTGAACATATCCTGAACTTCCCAGAAAAAAAAACTGCATTCCCCCCACCATCTACATCTCAGAAAATGGCAAGTCAGCTCACCTGGACAAGATGGACACATTCTAATATATAAAAATTAAACTGCACAAAGTCAAAAGACAGCCTTGGAGGAAATATTGGCAAAACATGCATATGAGGGGCGCCTGGGTGGCTCAGTCGGTTAAGCATCTGCCTTCAGGTCAGGTCATGATCCCGGGGTCCTGGGATTGAGCTCCATGTTGGGGGAAGGTCCCTGCTCAGCGGGGAGCCCGTATCTCCCTTTCCCTCTGTGTCCCCCTCTGCTATGCTCTGTCTCTTTGTCAGATAAATAAATAAAATCTTTAAATATAAAGTTCATATGAGGAATTTCCTAGCAAAGCTCTCATTTCCACAACACACAAACAGCACTAATGTTCCTACTGTAGAAATAGCTCAAAGAAGAGAAATGTTGCTGTACTCTCCTCAACACTTAAATAAATGCAAAATAAAATTGTGAGACTGCTTTGCTTTCAGATTGGCAAAGATTTCAAAGACTGAAATATTTCCATCCTTGTCAATATTGGCAAACAGGCAGTTTCCACAGCCTGCTGTTGACAGTGCCAATTGGTACAATAAAGCTGAAGCATAATTTGATGGTATCTATTAAAATGGTAAATATCAGGGCACCTGGGGGGCTCAGTCGTTAAGTGGCTGCCTTCGGCTCAGGTCATGATCCCCGGGTCCTGGAATCGAGCCCCGCATCGGGCTCCCTGCTCGGCGGGAAGCCTGCTTCTCCCTCTCCCACTCCCCCTGCTTGTGTTCCTGCTCTCACTGTGTCTCTCTCTGTCAAATAAATAAATAAAATCTTAAAATAAATAAATAAATAAAATGGTAAATATCTTCACTGAGGTGATGGCTGCATGACTGTAAAATTTACTAAAAATGGGGGCACCTGAGTGGCTCAGTCGTTAAGCATCTGCCTTCGGCTCAGGTCATGATCTCAGGGTCCTGGGATCGAGCCCCACATCAGGCTTCCTGCTCAGTGGGGAGTCTGCTTCTCCCTCTCCCTCTGCCTCCTCCACCTCCCCCGCTCATTCTCTGTCTCTGTCTCAAATAAATAAAATAAAATCTTTAACCTACCAATTACATTTCAACAAAATCAAAAATCCTTTACTTGGGTGAAAAAAAGAAGTTGCAGAATAATATAGACTCTAATAATTATTGTCACTAACCATATTTTGAAAAGCTGAAGAACAGATATACAATTTATACTTTTATGAACAGAAACCACTACAAAGCTAAGAACAAGTGTCCCACACAAAGCAGTGAATTGGACTTCAAATTCCACTCTACATCTGCATACCAGGTCATCTCAGAGAGGCCGAATAAACAGAAGCAAGGCTGAAAGCCCCCCAGGAATAAAGCCGGTCCCCAAACTCATACTGATCTTACTTTGATCGCTTTCAATCCGTATGTTTTATCTTCTCCCACAATGACACTGACTTCTTGTCCAACTTTCAGAGAGACATTGCCAGTCACAACATCACTACTGAAATAGATCAACTCATCAATCAAGCCGTAATCACTACAGATCTTCGTCACAACTCCTTGTACAGTTTTTAACCTGGTGCCACCTAAGAGATGAGTAAAGAAAATGTTTCATTAGTTAATATCCCAAGCAAATTACACATGAGAAATAAGCCCTACCGCAGGAAGAGATGGTAGACAACGATCTAAATCAAGAAAGAAATTGGACTTTGTTTGAGATACAGATGACCGTGACAGAGGAGCGTAGTGATTACATGTTTGGGAGGCAGAATGCTCCCGTTGAAAGGTTGATGTCACCATTTCTCTGTAAGGCACAGTGGCCCAATGCCCTTGGTAGTGGCACTCCCCTGGAGAAGGCAGAGTCTGGAACCAGACTGCCTGTCTGTGAACAGCGCTCTTCCCTTTACCATCTATGTAACCCTGGGCACATTTCTTAACCTCCCAGAATGTGTTTCCATCTGTAAAACCAGGGTATTACTAATGTCTGCCTAGGAGAGTAGATCTTAAATGTTCTCACCACACACACACACACACACACACACACACACACGCAGAGGATAATTATATAAGGTGATAGATGTGTTAATGAACCTTATTGTGCAATCATTTCACAATATATACATATAACAAGTCATCATACACACCTTAAACTTACAGTGTTATACGTAATTATGTCTCAATAAGGTGGGGGGAAAGGGTTGTTATAATTATGAACTGACACATACATGTCAACTGCTTAAAACTGTGAATGCCTCGCACAGGTTAGAGCTAACTCGGTAGTTGTTGACATGGTTTCTGCATCTAGAGAGACTTTAAACAGCCATTATTGTTACAGAATTTTATCATTATCAACGAGAGTGGCAGCAACGCCTGGAGATTACTCAAACATCTCACCAGAGAAAAGCACATAAAGAGATCTGAGGCTTTAAATCCAGCCCAAATGTGCATCCAAACCACTCCGGTTTATTTTTTTTTCTGAACAAACACAGCTACTAAGCCATAATTTGGGATCTGAACCTAGAGAGTAAGCCTGCAGAGCCCATTATGAACCACAACGCCTTAGGTGCCTCCCCAAAATGAGGCTGGGAGAAATGGACAGGGAGGCTGGGAGAAACATTGATTATGATTGATTATGGTTTCAGAAGCCAAAAAATTCCTGAAAACTTTTATTTAAAGATTTGATTTATTTGAGGGGCGCCTGGGTGGCTCAGTCGGCTAAGCATCTGCCTTCGGCTCAGGTCCTGATCCCAGGGTCTGGGGATCTGCCTAGCCAGCCCCATGTCTGGCTACCTGATCAGCGGGGAGTCTGCTTCTCCCTTTCCCTCTGTGTCCCCCTCTGCTTTATGCTCCCTCTCTCTCTCTGTCAAATAAAATCTTTAAAAAAATAAAATAAAGATTTGATTTATTTGAGACAGAGTGTGCCCACGAGTGGTGGATAAGGGCAGAGGCAGAGGGAGAAGCAGACTCTGCTGAGCAGGGGGCCCGACTGGGGGCTCGATCCCAGGACCCGGAGATCACGACCTGAGGTGAAGTCAGCCGCTTAACCCACTGAGCCACCCAGACGCCCCCTGAAACCTTTTTTAAAAATGGGACAAATTCGTCAAGTGAAATCATAAAACGCAAGAAAATAGAAGGGACAAGGGTGACAACTGACCCACCTAGGCTCATGAAAATAGTCAGAAACTCTTCTGTATTGTCCCATTGGCAAAAATACAGCTAAGAGGGGCGCCTGGGCAGCTCATTCGGTTGGGCGTCTGCCTTCCGCTAGGGTCGTGATCCCCGGGTCCTGGAATCGAGCCCCGCGCCGGGCTCCCTGCTCGGCGGGGACCCTGCTTCTCCCTCTGTCTCTGCCCCTCCCCTTGCTTGTGCTCGCTCTCTCTCTGTCAAAAGAAAAATACAATCTTTAAAATAAATACGGCTGACGGACGCAGCAGCGTGAGCTTCCCGCTCAAGCTAAGCAGCAGCTCTCCGCGGCCCACCCCGCTGAGACTCGGCCTCCCCTGCGGGCCTCACTCTCGGGGACAGAGGAGCTGCGGACCGATCCGGGCACCAGGAAGGCCGGGGCGCTGCTGGGAGGATGATGCCAACCACAGACGGGACCCTTCTCTGCTCCGGAGCCCCCCGCGCACTCACCCTGCGTAAGGAGGCGCCCCAGAGGCGGGGGCCCCACGGTAGGGAATGGCTACCGGGCCTCGGGGTCTGGGGGACACCAGCCGGGTGCCCGCTCTCCCCTGCACGTGTCCCCCTGCCCCGGCTGTAACGGGAACCCGACGAAGCTCCCGCCTCCCTGCGGGGTTTTCTCAGGACCACGTGGCAGGAATGCCCGGTCGGCCCTGAGGCCCAGTGCTCGGCACAGACAAGGGCTCCTTAGATCCATGCTTCACAGCAGGCCCACCGTCCACCCCAGCGAACCTTCTCAGTGTTCACGGTGCCCCCGACACAGCGATGCCTGCCCTGCTGTCCCGCGTCATCCCCTCAGTGCCAGACTCTGGGGCAGGATTTCAGGACACAAAGGTGAGCCACTTTAGTGTGGCCCATGTCTTCCTACCAGCGACAGATCCAGGACTTGACCACTTGGCTTCAGATACACGCGTGTTTGGGAAACGCAATCAAATGCACCCTCAAATCAGGGGGATCCACTACTACTGGAAATATGAGAAGGAATCTGTTGTACATTTACATAACATATGCACAATGTAAGTTCCAAAGGCATTGGGGGAAATGCAAGCCCCCCACCCCCACCCCGGGGCCTTCTCTGTCTACACCACCATCCCTTTGGACAGGAGGAGGGTTCTGGGTATGCTCAGGGACTCTGGGATGCTTCTTCTCACAAGGAGGCGCTGCCATGGCCATGCAGCCCCCTTCTGAGCCCCCGAGGCTCTGAACCAGGAGAGGGGAGCACCCTTAGGTGCAGGCCCCTGTGGGGGAGAAGACGAAATGAATACCTTCCAAGAGCCTCATATGCTGCTCCCTCTCGGCCTCGGACGAGTCCACCCTCCTCCGGAAGAAGGCAAGAGCCCTGGAAATAAACCAAAGCATGGTCCCGTCGTTAGGGCAGCCTGGGCCCCCCAGACAACAGCACCAAGCTCGCTTCTGTCCAAGTCTCTGCCACCCAGCCGCACTCCGACCACAGCTGCTGTTCAGACACTGCGCCTGCCCCGCTGCACCGCTGGGCGTCTAGCCACGTACCTACACGCGCCTTGGCGCAGGCTGCCGCCCGAGGGGCCTTAACGGGCCGCGTGCCCACCATCCAGCCAATGGCGGCGTAGTGCTCTCAGTGCAAGCCGCCCAGAGGCTGGGAGCTGAAGGGCGGGGCTTCGTGGCTCCTCCCACCACGGCGAGGGCGGAAATGTGGTGGCCCTGCAGAAATCACTTCCAATACGACCTCGTTTGGCACCTCTTAGAGGGTCTCTGTGCGCTTCTGATGCCTGTCTTGGAAGGTGGCACAGCAACTTGCCCCGAGGTTGGAGGCAGGCCCCCAGGCTCTGGCTCCCAGGTGTGCAGCCCCCAGTCCTCGCTGCGTGAATTCTTTTCTCTTCCTTCGCCTCTAAGTGCCCTCCACCACCAGCCCCCATCAGCCCCACCTCCTCACCCCTACACCCACTCCATGGGGAGATCAATGGTCAGCTCTAAGCAGCGGCTTTCTGGCTGGTGTTAAATGATACCGCAGATGCTGTGGAGAAACCGAACTTGCACGTCTACATGGGTCTCAAACCATAGGCTGTGTCTTGCTCTTCTTGGAAGGCAGCCGACTGTGCCAAAGCACTCACTATGGGGCCCGAGAGCCACTTTTAAGTACGATCTGGAGATGAGGATGGCTAGGTAAGGAGGGCCGGGTGATGGAGCATGATGCAGGGAGTTTGGATTGCATCACTTTTATTTTGGGGATCAGGCAGACGTCACATGAATATTAAATGAAAAAAAAAGAATATTGAATATTTTAACAGCAAAATGAGTTGATTTGGGGATAGCCGACCAATTGCAATTCAGGACACATGAACCATGGTGAACTTGTAAGCAAGTACAGAGTACAACAAAAAGCTTTCTTTGATAGAGGAGAGGAAGCTGGGACAGGTGGTTTTGAAGAAAAGTCATTAGAGGAGAGTGAGAGTCCAGGGTTTTGATGGCCTTTCATTGGCTGAGTTGTGGCAGTTTCTCATTGGTGGGGCTGTTGCTGAGCCAGGAGGAAATCTTCCTTCCTCCTGCTGCAGTAGTAAAGTAGGCTCCGGCCTGTTGGGGGCCAAAAATGCTGTTGACAAGTGGTAGTATGTGAGAGCTCCCCTTTTAGGGCTTCCACACTCTGTCTTAAGTGAGGTTGCCTTTATTCATTTTCACATTTTCCCCTTTTGATCAAGATCTTCCCTCAAAAGCATCACCGATCAAGAGTCAGGTTTTCTACATTTAGTGGTGCTGTCCCTTAGTACCATGGACGACCTTCCCTGGTTGCCATATCTCACATCGGAGGGCAACCGTTGAGATCACGCTTAGTAATAAGAAAGGGTAGGAGGGAGAGCTCTCAGGCATTCACATCTAAAGTGTATATCTTGGGGCACTTGGGTGGCTCAGTCGGTTGGGTGGCTGCCTTTGGCTCAGGTCATGATCCCAGGGTCCTGGGCTGGAACCCTGGGTAGGGCTCCCTGCTCAGCAGGAAGCCTGCAAGCCTGCTTCTCTCCATCTCCTCCCTGGCTTGTGCTCTCTGCTGCTATCTCTGTCTCTCTCTCAAACAAATAAATAAAATCTCAGAAAAAATAAAGTGTATATCTTATCAGGTTTGTAGGCATCGGAGATTGTCTCAAAGTGCTGGGCTAGTATCACCCTATTAGGTAGATTGTTTCTACAAAGGTTTATCAGGCTTATATACAAAGCTTAAAAACAAAGCAGAATTAAAAGTAGTATGAGAAATCCAGGTTGAGCAATGGTTCTGAACCTGGAGCCCCAACCTGAAAGTAACCAGCTAAAGAGATCAAAGGACCATGGATTGTCAGATGAAATTCACTGTAGCCGATGTGCTTGTTCTCTCATTTTATGCAATTGGGTTTCTACTTCTCCAGAGGAATTTCTGCAAGTGTAGCAGGTGGTACTGGCTATGGCACAAGCACCTTGTTGTTCAACAAGTAGATGATCAAGGGCTGCATGATTATCCCAAACTACTTTAGCCAGTGAGTCAAGTGATTGCTGTTGAGCTGCTACTACTTTAGCTGTGGAGTCAGCTACCTCTCCTAATGTAAGGGAGAGATTTCTGACCGTGTGTTCACTGGCATTTACTCTGACCCAAGGAAGAAAGGCTCTCCCTACAGAGGCAAACCCAGAGACACGTACATCTCCTGGAAGTTCCCATTTAAGGCAACTGTGGAGGTTTAATGGGATGGGCTACTGGGAAGCTTCTGCTTTATTTTGGATCTTGACACAGATGGCTAACCAACCCAATAAACACTGACCTCCAATTCGCCAGCTACCTAGTCATATGCCCATGGCAAAAGCCGTCCAGCGCCAGACAAAAATGAAACCAGGCGGAGCTCTGAGTACTCTAGCTGGGGTCTGTTATTGATAGATCTATGAGCCAGAATTTCCTGATTGACGCTTTCAAGTCAGGAATCAGAGGAGTTGGGATGACATCCTCTGAGAGGCCATCCATCCTCAAAGAGTCCTTTCTAAAAATCCCGCAAAGAGGAATTAGCCAATTTGTATTTCCCCTGGGCACAGGGAGACAGGACACACTTAGACAAGGAAAAAAGCATGAGGTGGTGAAGATTATACAATTGGCAAAGTTGGAGTGATTTAACTGAGCCAGTACAGTTATGGCTGAAGAAAGACAGAGACAAGGTATGGGGATAGTGGGCCATACGAGTGTCACTTGAGAGATAGCATCCATAAGCTTGTGGGTATAATTGAAAGTGGCATTTAGGACTAAGGACACATTGGTGATGTGTAAGACCAAGGGGTCTCTGACACCATGAACAGATCCAGCAGTGTGAAAGTTTTGCCCCTTTTGCAATAGATTGGATAAGAGCATTATTTTCCCAAGACTGAGAGGGAGAAAATAAGGTAAAAAGCAGCTGTAAGAAAATGGTATGCTTTATGCATAATAACTGAGCATAGCCTACTGGCACTGACAATTTAAACCACTTCCAGTGAGGTGTAGAAATCTTACTTCTATTTAGGTCTATTGAACATTTTCAGTTTTTTTTTAAACATGTGCACCTTTTTATTTTTTTAAAAGATTTTATTTATTTATTTCACAGGCACACACATCGAGAGAGGGAACACAAGCAGGGGGAGTGGGAGAGGAAGAAGCAGGCTTCCCGTGGAGCAGGGAGCCCGCTGCGGGGCTCGATCTCAGGACCCCAGGATCATGACCTGAGCCGAAGGCAGACGCTTAATGACTGAGCCACCCAGGCGCCCCTTTTTTCTTTTCTTTTAAAGAGTTTATTTATTTGAGAGAGAGCGCAAGTAGGCGCTCCCAACATGGGAATGGATCCCAGGACCCTGAGATCATGGCCTGAGCCAAAGACAGCTGCTTAACCAACTGAGCCACCCAGGCGCCCCTTGCAGACAGCTTTTTATTTTTTTATTTTATATTTTTTAAAGATTTTATTTATTTATTTGACAGAGAGAGACGGCGAGAGCAGGAACACAAGCAGTGGGAGTGGGAGAGGAAGAAGCAGGCTTCCAGAGAGCAGGGAGCTGGATGAGGGGCTCGATCCCGGGACCCTGGAATCATGACCTGAGCCCAAGGCAGACGCTTAAGGACAGAACCACCCAGGCTCCCCTGCAGACAGCTTTTTAAAAGTTATACGTAGGCGTGCCTGGGAGGCTTAGTCGTTAAGCCTCTGTCTTCGGCTTGTGTTCCCTCTGTCAATGTGTCTCACTCTATCTCACTCTGTCACTCTCTCACGTGTGAGACACAATGTGTCTCACTCTGAATAAATAGAATCTTTAAAAAAATTTTAAAATAAAAATAAAGTGGAGTCAGTAGACCAGAAGGGGGAGCTCTTAGGTCCTACCATTCCTTATAAATTGCAGACCCCAACAGGAAGAGACATATCTTCCAAATAAGACATTACATTAGCTATTACCACCCCAGGAGGAAAAACAAAAGGTGTTTCAGCCCAGCCAATGACAGATAGTCATAACGCAAGCCAATGAAAAGCTACTATACTTGGAACCCCGAATTTACTCTAATGGACTTTTTGTTTCCAAAAGCCATCCCAGCCTCCCCCTTTCCTCTATAGAAAAGCCTTCCTGGGGCGCCTGGGTGGTTCAGTCTGTTAAGCACCTTCCTTCGGCTCAGGTCATGATCCCAGGATCCTGGGATCCTGCCCGAGTAGGGCTTCCTGTTCAGCGGCCTTCGGACCGGTTGGTGATGCTGGGGTCCTAGAATGGAGCCCCATGTCAGACTCCGTGCTCACCAGGGAGTCAGCTTCTCCCTACCCCTGCCGCTCTCCCTGCTTGTGCTCTCTCTCTCTGTCAAATAAATAAATAAAACCTTTTAAAAAAAACAGGGAAATTGATTCTTACTACGGGGGGGGGGAGGCGGAGCGGGGAGGAATGAGAAGTCCACACCACAAACAAACTCTGTTATATCTCCTGTCTATTCTAAGAACCCACTCGTGTTTCCTAAAAATCATGTAGTCTCCCCTAAATTGCCTACATCTCCGTTCCCCTTCCCCTATTAAGATGGTATATAAGCTCTCAAATCTCACTCACATTTTTTTTCTGTGATGTCCCTGTGCAGGTAATATTAAAAATTAATAAATGTGTATACCTTTCCTAGAGTTAATCTGCCTGTTGTCGATCTATTTCATAACCTAGGAGGTGTGTACAAATAGAATATTATAGAGGGAAAGTTTTCCTCCCTTACAGGTAAAAGAAAGACAATGGAGCAATTCAATAAAGAAATACACATGACCAGCAACTATACCAAAAAGAAAAAAAAACGCGCCTGTGCGTTTGGTGAAACTCTACAGGGCTGCCGAGTTAGCAGAGAAATGCGAATTAAAGAAAGGTACAGTGGGTCGCCTGGCCGGGTTTTCTGTGGAGACTGTGGGGAAGGGGGATGAGGTAAACAGACGGAGCCTTCCCGGTAGGCCGTCTGCACGGAATCCGGAGAGCGGTCCAGACACTCGGGCCGCCCGCTCCGCTCAAGGACACGCCCCCAAAGCGATCCCTGGGGATCCCGCCTTCCAATCCCTTCTTCCCTCGGGCTCTGCCCTTGGGCGCCCCGGAGGAGGCGGGGCTTGCTGGCGAGGCGGTCCCGTGGGCGGTCCCGTGTCGGCGGGGCCGCTCCGTGGCGCCCGGGAGGGGGCGTGGCCACACTCGGGGCGGGGTTACGCTAGCGGCGGCCGCCCCGGCAGCCGGCGAGGGGCGGAGCTCTCCATAGGCTGCTCCGGAGGGGCGGGGGCGGCGGCGGCGGGGGCGGTGGCGGCGGCCGCGGAGGCTGCATCCCCGGCCCGGCCAGGGAAGGGGTGACCGAGGGCGGGGCGGGGCGGAGGGCACCGGCGGCCGGCGGGTCGCCTCAGGCCTCGCGTCCACCTGCCCGGCCGCTCGCGCTCCCCTGGGTCGGCGGGGCCTGCGCCGGCCCGCGCCCATGGCGGCGTCGGCGGCTCTGTCGGCGGCGGCGGCAGCGGCGGCCCTGTCGGGCCTGGTGGTGCGGCTGTCGCGCTCGGCGGCGGCCCGCGGCTCGTACGGCGCCTTCTGCAAGGGGCTCACGCGCACGCTGATCACCTTCTTCGACCTGGCCTGGCGGCTGCGCATGAACTTCCCCTACTTCTACGTGGTGGCCTCGGTGATGCTCAACGTCCGCCTGCAGGTGCGGATCGAGTGAGCGGGCGCCGCCGCAGCCCCGGCCGGAGGGTCCCGCGCGCCGGGCCGCGACGGGCAGGGGCGCCGGCATGGAGGACGGCCGGCGGGACGCGGCGGGGGCAGGAGGCGGGGTGGCCCGGGCCCCCGGGCCCTAGACCTGCGCGGGAGGACGCCGGCCACCCGGCCGCCGAGTCACCCGGCCCGGCCCCGGCCACGAGCCGCCCGCCCGCGGCGCGCCCGGTGACCTATTGCACGGAAACTCTGCCAACGGGCCCTTTCCGTGGGGCTCGAGAAGAAAGAAAAAAGAAAAAAACCCGATTCGAGTGCGGCCGACCTGTTGCCTCACGTCGGCCAGAGCCCGGGAAGCCGCAAGGAAAAATTCCGCAGCAGGGACTTGACTGGCCCGGGTCCGCAAGGTAAGAGGCCGGAGGCTGGACCTGCGTGCGGGCTGGCGGCGGCGCTTGCCAGGACATCTCGGTGACAGGGGGAACTGTGGACGGGACCCCTGGAAGCCAGCCCCTGAGCTGCCCGGGGGGGGGGGGCCGCAGGCGCCCCAGACTCCCCGGTCCTCATTCCCAGGCGGGGGTGAGGGGCGGCGGCGGCCCGGGCATCTCGGAGGGTCAGCCGGTCCCCGCCCCGCTTTCCCCAGAGGCCCTGGTGCTGCCACCTGAACCCCAGGGAGTGGAGGGGAATGGGCTGGCGGAGGCGCCGGGGAAGGCTCTAGAAGGAAAAGATGCTGCCACCCTTCACCCCTTTGGGGGGCCAGACAGGGAGGGTGGTTGTGTTCTTGGCCAAAGCCCTGGTCGGGCCCCTCCTAAGCCCTCGGGCCCCTCCTAAGCCCTCAGGCCCCTGGGCTCTGGGCAGCTCCCTCCCGGCCGGTGGCAGAACTGCCTCCCGCCCTGTGTCGGGGGCCGGGGGACTGCTCTGGACCTGCTCCGGCTGTGCCCACTGCCCCCCTCCGGCTCTGGGGGCGCCCTCTGGCGCTGGGCGCTTGGACGTTTGGAGACCCCGGGGAGGGGGAAGGCCGCTCGGCCCTGTCCCTGCCCCCACAGTCTCGCTGTTGCGCCATCGCAGCCACCCTCCCTCCGGACCCCACGTCTGCCCTGCCCGTGCCACTGAATGTCGCCTGCGGCAGCCCCTGTGCACCCAGAGGAGCCGGGGAAATGGGGATCTCCTGGAGCCCAGGGCAGCTCTCAGGCTGGGGTGGGGAGAGCGGGTGGAGAAGCGGCTTGGGAGGAGGCAGCCCTTGGGCAAAGGGGCCCCACTCTCCGTGGGGAGGCCACTGTGAAGTCCCCATCTCTTTCTGTCTTTCAGGAACCGGAGTTTGTAGGTGGTGACCCACCCCTTCCGTGGCCTTGTCAAGAGACTCAAATCCGTGCCCAGGGGCCGCCCCTGGCCCGGGAGCTGCCTGGGGAGCAGCTGGGCAAAGGGCCTGGCCCAGGAGGAGAGAAAGGACCTTCCAGGCAGAGGCCTCGAGGGCTGGGGTAGCCAGTGGTCCCCTTCTGGCATGGGGAAGGACGCCACCCTGTCACCTCAGCTCTGCATCTCCTAGCAACACTTTGAGGGCCTTCTGTTCTCCCCACCTGGTGTTTGGAAAAGCTGGCTCCAGGACAGGGAGAGATGTGTCCTTGTCCTACAGATAAGAAGGGGTGGGGCTGAATCTGAGAAAACCTGGCACAGGTGGGGTGGGGAAGGGGAGCTCAAGGCCCCCCCTGGGGGATCTAGGAGGAGAGAGAGAGAGAGGTGCAGGGTAGGGAACGTGGGGAACTGGCTTTTCTTGGAGTGGTGTGGGAGGTCACAGGGAAGACCGTCAGCGCTGAGATGGACACAGGAGGGAGTCCTAGAACGCCTTGCGGAGTGGAGGTCTTTCCCCACAGAGCCTGGCCTCCCCTGCCGCCCCACCCCAGGCTGGACCAAGGGCTCCTCGGCAGCTGAGTGGCACGAGCCTCTCAGTTTGGGTGGCGGGGTGGGGGTGGGGTGGTGGCGTGGCTGCTGGGGACAAGACGGAACCAGGAGGGTGAAGGGATAAACCTGGGACGGGGCTGGGACCCATGCACGACCCCATCTGTCGGTCCCCGGGCTTGCCCCCCGCCTCGGCCCCGAGCCCAGGATCCCACAGGAGAACCTCCTCTGCATGGGCTTGAATCGGCCCTGGAGGCCCAGGTGTGCGGCTCCCTGGCGCACCAGGATGGCCAGGCGTGGTTCCCGAGGGGGGCCAGGAAGGACCCCGGTCCCACAGCCGCTCTGTCACTGGTTGCTCTCGGCTCCCAGGCTCTGAATTCCTGGGACTGAAAACCCAAGCAGGCTGGCCAGCCTCAGGGACACGGTGGCCCAGTGTCATACCTCCTGCCCTCCTCAGCCACCACGCTGGAGGCCGAGTCCTGAGTGAAGAGTTCTGCCCGCCTCACCCCGGGGACCGAGGCCAGATGAGGCCGCATGTGTCCCCTGCAGCTTCCCACAGACAGGGTGTGATGGCTTCCTGCCTTGTGCCAAGTGTCCTGGGATCCCCGGTCCCGGTGGCGCCTCCTGTACCCCAACCCTTTCCACCCAGGACCACTTCTGGGAGCCTGCCAGCCTGCCGACTCCATCCACAGATGTCCGGGGACAGCGTGTGAGAGCCACGCGGGGCCTCCTTGGGGCTGATCCACAGATGTGCCCCTTGCAAGGCCCCGTCTCACCCTCGGGGTGACCTGCTCCCCAGCTGCGGCCTTGTGGCTCAGCTGGAGCTGCCTGGGGCCTGTGACACCTCTTGCCCACAGGGAGAGGGGTGGGGGGAGCCTCGGGGCCCTGGCCCGAGACCCCTGCCCTGCGGGGCGCCCCAGCCAGTGCCTGCCCTGCCCCGGGGGCCCGGAAGTCTCCGCACAGCCCCCGAGGGACTGGGCAGGGGCTGCCCTTCTTCGGCCTGTGGTCCTGCCACTGCTTTTCTGACCGGTTTGGCCTTGAGTAGTTAGCGAGCTTCTCCCCACCCCCCACCTTCCCTCTGCCCGCACTGGGCCCTGGCTGCCTGACAGGCTCTCGATGCACTTTATTTAATTTGCAGTCTGTTTTCCAGGCAGCAGAGCTTCTACAGAATCCGAGACACGGGCTGGAGATGACTGTCACTTTCCCGTGTGTGATTAACTGTACTGGTCAGCACCGGCTGCTCAGAGAAATGGTCTCGTTCCTGGTGTTGTCAAATCTTGTCACTCTAAGTTAAAAAAACAAACCCTCCCTGAGTTCAATAAAGGAAAAGAAAACTGGAGGCCTCCTCTTCTGGTGTGGCGCCTCAGAGGAGGGGGCCGGCGGTGAAGTCACCTGGGAGGGCCGCGGGGGGCTGCAGGGGTGGAGGCCTGCGGGGCCAGGGCCCCTGGAGAAGAAGGCGGCGGCACGGGCCTGGCCAGAGAGGTGGCAATTTGTCCCATTCACAACCTTTATTTGGATGACCTGATACCTGGGTCTTCTCTATTGAGGGGGGGCTGTGGGGGGGGGCGGTGGAAGAGGCTCCCTGCACATCATTTTGGGTCACCTGGAGGCCCGTCTGCAACAGCAGGTGGCGAGGTCGCCCTTGCTTCCCTGCCAGCCAGGTGGGCACCCAGTTTTAGAAGAGAGAAACCCCTGGGGGCGGGAAGCCTGCTGCCCTTCCCCCGCCCCAGACCCGAACTGTCCCTTCAGAGCCCCAGCCTAGTGACTCCCCACAGAAGCCTGGCCATGGGCTCCAAGGGCTGTAGGGCTGAGGGCAGGCAGGCAGGCAGAGGGGGGGTGAAGGGCACCTGGGGACCTCAGTGGCTGGGGTAGAAGAAGGAAGGCCCACAGTCCGCTGGGAGGAGGCTCCTGAGGATGCAGGGTCTTGGTCCCCCTGAGGAGCACAGCCTGGGGTAAGGGCCTGGGGTGTGCTCCACCCACTGGGAACTTCCAGGGGTCAAAGCACCCTGACAAGACAGACCCTTCGGGCACCTGCCACCACAGAGGGATGGACCCCCGTCCCTGCCAGCACCCTGAGCTTCCCTCTGCTTTGTCCAGATGGTCCCGTTCAGTCCGTGTGGGTCCCAAACCCAGCCCAGGGATCACGCAGCCTGGTGCCACCAAGAGGGGAGGGGTGAGACCGGGGCTCGGGGCCCCAGGCACGTTGGGGAGGGAGGACCACCCTTCCGTGCCACCGAGGAAGGCAGGCAGCTTCTGCTCTGGCTCAGGGCGGCCTCCTGAGCCCAGCTCTTCCACGGACCACCGTGTGGCCCCAGGCCGGCCACGGGCACTCTCGTGTCGCCAGGAGGGAGCCTTCAGTGTGGCCCGTGTCCTCCTACCAGCGACAGACCCAGGACTTGGCCACTTGGCTTCAGATACACGCGTGTTTGGGAAACGCAGTCAAATGCACCCTCAAATCAGGGAGATCCAGCAAACGGGAGCTCAGGGAGGAATCGGGGGGCGCTGCTGGGGAAACGCAGGGGAGGGGAAGCCCCCCACCCCCCCAGGCTTCTCTGCCGGCATTGTCACCACTGCGGTGGGTGAGGAGAATTTGGGGCTTAGCTGGATGCAGACCCAGCTGTGGGGGACTTGGGAACACGGCCTCCCATGCCCACGAGATGGAGCCACCCTTGCAGCCTGGAGCAGGGGTGGGGGAGCCCCTCTGGAGAGGATCCTTGTGCGGGAGACAGAGGGACAGAGACACCCCTGGCAGGGCACCGAGCTGCCTCCGGCAGTCCCCCTCTGCAGAGTCCACCTTCCTCCGGAAGACGGCCACAGCCCTGGTCCCAAGGCTGAGCAAGGTCCCGAAGTCACCACCACCTGGGTGGCCCACCACACAAAACAAA